CATAAGGTAGAGTCTGATGAAAATAGAGAGGACGGAATTGGTTGGCTTACAGAGTGTATGAATCAGGACAACGCATGGACTTGGTGTGATTGTCTGTGTGCGAGTGAAAAAAACTCTTGCAAAGGAAAATGTTGCATGAAATGACTCATTCGGTCTCAAGACTTGAGGTAATGGGATAATGAGAAGGACAGCTAAAAGTGCTAAGAGGATTATGGGCTCGGCGTCGTCTAAAAAGGTTGAACTGATGTGGTTAGAATAAGCTGAGTCAATAAAGTCCTCAACATGGCACGGATTTGGCGTGTGGATAAGCATAGCGATAGTTATCGTCCCGAGGAAGATGGTCAACTAGGAGCGTCTCTATCGTAATACTTTGGGGCTACAAAATTCGACTTAATCTGGTTTAGGTCTGAGTGTGGAGGATGCTAGATCGGATGCTAGGTGCAAGCCGTGCATGACGAGCTATTTAATTGAAAGCCAAATTAAGCCTCAAATTTTAACTTTCCTTGAATGTTTTATCTAACGGTAAATTCTGGAAAGAATTGTTGCATGCAATTTTAAAGTACCTCTTAAATTATAGTGCTGTTGGTCCTGGTTCCATCAGTATCTGGTCGCTGACCTAGAGTAAGAGCTGCCGAAATGCCACATATGATACAGATACAAGATGTCTGGAAGTGATAGATAAAATGTAGTGGCAAGAAATTGTAGTGGAGGTCAATACGAATCAATTCCTAACATGCAAATATTCAATCTAAATGCCTCTTAGATTCCAGTTTCTGGCAGTAAATTAAGTTCAATCCTCTCAAGGCATTTTGCAAATAAAATCCCTTATGCACTCCTAAATGCTAATCAGAATAAATCCGGGCACTACCAGGTTCAAGCACCTCTGGGGTGCTGGTTTAACATATAAGAGATCGAAACTGCAGTCCGCCCTTTTGGGAAGCAAAGCTATTGAAGTTCAATTGAAAAGTGAAGTTTACTCATTTGAGTGTGGGAAAATTCACCCCCCCGTCCTTCATTTACTTGATGGAAATAGAGTGGCTATAGTTTTTATACAATTATTGAATAGGCCTAATGCGAAGACAAGGGGAGAGAAGTTGCTTATTACAAAAGAAGTACAAATATTTGTCATTGGCGCAGTACAGCTACTGAGGTTCTGAGTTAACTGCGGGATAAAAAGGAGTAAGCAGCTGTGGATACTGTCCTCAGTGAAGTACTCGGGGGTATAGCTCGGTATGACTTATTCCCGTGGACTTCCTCTATTTCAGAGGACATAAGGACTTGCCGTTGTTTGTTTGGTTTTTCTGAGTACGACGCTATAGCATGGGCCTCCTGTGCCTCAAAGTCCAAAGTATCCGGACTTGCTGTGTGCAACTAAGTTAGGTGACACCAGGTTCAACCAAAAGATCTTAATACGAATTATTTCAAAGAATGTGAAAGTTTACTGCTGTAATTGTGTCTGAGTGGTGTGAGGGCCGCTGATGTGATGCGATAGTTAACCGACACACTGAGGGCACAAATAAATTCACTGAATAAACTATCAAAATTCACCATTCCTAAAGCAAAAATCCAGGAAAATGCATGCATAATGCAATTTCATATTCGTTTTCAATCGACGGTCTTTTTAGCCTTGGAGGCTATTTGAGAGGAAGAGCATCAGAAACGTATCACGTGGCACGGATTTATACGCATAGGTGGAATGCGCCTATTGACTTGACAAAGAATGTACTGTTGTGGGAATAAGAGTGGGGTTGAGTCACCAAAAACTTTTCTTTTATTATTGCGAATAATACACACACAAGTGAATCATTATCCAAATGCCTTTATCTCCGGCTATTATCAGTTTATAGAACCAGACCGCTTGATCCTCAGCTTGTCACCAAGTTTGATGATTACAGACTCTCAGTTCCTTTGCGAACTAGCTCCTTAATACAGTGATTCCCAAACTGTGCGTTGCGATGTCCCGGGGAGCTTAAATTTGAGAAAATGTACAGTGATTTGCAGGCTCATCCATCAGATTAATTATTAAATATTAATTTAATATTAATAAAGTAAAAAAGATAAATAAATATACACGAGTTTTATTTATTTTTATTTTTTACTTACGAATAGTCATACTTAGGGTAGAGCATCATAGAAAAATTTTAATTGCAAAATGGCGCCGCGACTAGGAAAAGTTTGGAAACCAATGTCTTAATAGATATTTAAGGCAAAAGGTTGATGATGCCAGTTTGTCGCAAATCTATTATGGCCTTATCAAACTTGCTATTTACACCGACCCCTCTCTTTCGATATGCTTACCCAAATCGGGCCTCCAATCCGCATCCCCTCATTGTCTCGAAGATCCTTGCTCTATCTTTCTTGTTGACCGATTTCACTCGGGTCTAGTCCCTGTGTGCATTTCACTACAGGCGCTATTTCTTAAGGTCCTAGAAGCACATAAACTACCGCTTCATTGAGCGGAGCGCTTAAGCTCTGATTCCTATGTTTGCAGATATCGGGCCTTCTCTTCACAAGTCCTCTCCTTGATTAAAGAAATATTATCTGAGCAAACTGTAGAGGCATATCTCTGGTCGCATGCGGCATCTCAAGTGAATTTCTAGTGCATTTTTGGCAGAATGCATGATTTCTATGACGGTTTGCCTATCCGTCTGTCCAGCGCCCTGACTGCCAGGCCCCCAAAGTTGTACTGGTTTATTCAAAATGGACATCACTCACTGACAACGACTTCGCTTAATTGCTGAAACCACCTCCCTCCTTTCGTCATCGCAATCCCTTTTCCTCCTGTTAGTGTTAGATCCTTGGTTAAGGCGTCTCCTTTTTGCTTGTCTTGCTCTATTGTTTTCCCCGATTTTGCTTAGGCAGTAGGCTAAGCTATCGCTAACTCTACCTTCCTCCAATCTCCTGTTCATTAGATTTGTCTCCCTAAGCATGTCAATGGCCTCCCCAATCTTCCGCTTCCTTTTGCTGTCCCCGTATGGGGCTTTTCTTTCTCTTGCCTTCAAATTAATCTCGTGTCCAGTCTGTGCGATGTGTTGCGCTAGTTCTGATCTTTAAGTATCTATTTTCCTACAGAGCCTCTGATGTTCCTTGATTCGTGTGCTAATTTTTCTCCCTGTTTCGCCAAAATATTTCTGATTACAGACGCCTCATGATATACAGTAAACTCCTGAACAATCCAATTTGTCTACTCCTTCATGTTTCGTTGGTAGACTTGTGAAAAGTGTTGATTTTTCTTTCATGACAACTTGAATATTCCATTTACTCAATATCGGCCGTAGTTTCTAAGTTAGTTCGCAGGAAGGTAGGCATATCCACTTTTGTGAATCTATCATCGGCCTTTCTCTCCTTTCATATTCCCCGTTCCGCCATCGGCTTTTCACGGCCCGTATGTTTTTTTGTATCACTTCGCCAGGGTAGTCATTGCCGAGGAATATCCTCATCAATTTGTCTAGCTCCTCGTCCCAGAAATCTTCATCCGTTATGCGTAGGCTTCGGATGATCATGCTCCTCATTATTCCAATCTTTAGCCTGTAATTGTGATGGGACCGGAAATTGAGTATTATCCCAGCATAGGACTTTTTCTGAACTATTTATTTTTTTAGCGTTCC